CTTCCTTCCTTCCATCCTTCCTTCCTTTCTTCCTTATTTTTATGGAACCAAGGGATTGAACTCAGGCCCTTGTGCTTGCCAGGGAAGCTCTTATTCTACCGAGCCATCTCCCCTGCCCCTCAAGCTTTTACAATTTAGGTAATGTGGGAAGATTTGAAACTGAAAGCAAGCGTACATTTATTAAACTGAGGAACTCTAAGTTTGTAAATTCAGCTATTAAGCCCTTAATTTTTCCATCATTTGATTTTCAATTGTCCAAGACAAGTCTTCAAACAGCTCCTGGGGTTTGGTTCCTCAGCTGCAAGTGGATCCTCTTCTTCATGTCCATGTTCCTCTCGCCAACCCTCTCCAAACTTAACTTTCCACTGCGGGGCCGAGGAGGGAGAGGCGCCCCTGCCTGCGCGCCGAGGGCTGTCAGAAGGGGTCTGCTCATGGTAGTGGCTGCGGCTGGCGTGTGCAGTGCGAGAGGACGAGCGAGTGCAGCTCATGGAGCCAAGTTAACTTCCATCTCCTTCTGTTCCTGATTTCTCTAACACTGACATTGATTCAAATGAAGTGAAGATACAAGGAATGGTATTTTGATAGTAAGAAGGCTGGGCCTGTATAGGGTCACAGGACATATGGGGACTCTACTTTCTGTTCAATTTTGTTGTGAACTTAAAACGTCTCTGAAAACCAATCTATTTTAATAAAGTATTACTTCCTTTCCTCCCTGCACATGATCTCAGCTGTTAATTCGTAGGGTGTGGTGAGTGTTTGTTCTTAGCTTTACAAAATTCTGAAGAGCAGAACTGACTTAACAGGAGAAAAACTGAAGTCAGCATTGCACACTCAGATACTTCCTATCTTCTTGTCTTGTTCTTACAATTATGCTTCTGTAATACTGAATACAGGAATATTTCTTGCCCAAGCATTTCTTCTCTTTTGAGTCAAGTGAAATTATATTGACCATTCATGGAGGTGACTCAAAACCCTAGCTATACATATAACATTATATTGGATGTCTAAAAACACTCAGGTTTTGAATAGAGGCTTAGCCTCTTCTTTCACTTCTTATAACCTAGGACCACATTTACTTAAAACGTCTCAGGATAAATAGTGAAAGTAAAAGTGGTCAGCTTTCAATTATTTCCAGGTGGCTCATCTACAGGAAGTCTCAATGTCAGGTAAGCTTTGGCGGTAGTTGGGTGACTGAACAAGAGAGGAGGTTTTGGTGTCAAGGACAAGTGTTGACTTTAAGCTCTGCCAGTGTCCAGCAGTGAGGCTTTGGATAAATTACTAACTTCAGTGATCTTATCTGTGAAGGTAGAAATGCTGTGCTTATATCAGATTGTAGCTAAGTGAGAATGTATACCTCGTGCCAGCTGTTCATAACAAGAGCTCAGGGGGTGTGGGTACATGTATAAAATACAACTTGTTTCTTCTTTTTAATTGCCTTCTCCCCACCCCTCCTTAATTCCTCCTTTAAATTCCCTTTCCCTATTTTCATTCTTGTTGGTATTATTTTTTTGATGAACATAATGGGTTTTATTTTTTT